AAAAAAAAAAACTGAAAATTTTCCCATCTTAAGAATCGAGTCATAAGAGTATTTAGTTTTTGTACTATACCTACTTGTGTCATAAAACAGCTTGTGAACACGACGTTAAAAGTAAAAGGAAAATTTCCAACAAGTTTTGGCTTCTGTTTCACTCCCATTTATGTATTTCTATTTCAACCCTATACAGTTAAATTAGGGCCCCAGTTTGAGCCTTGAGCTACCTAGTTACAGCTCTGCTCGCTTCTACAACACCATGGTAACATTAATTGAAAAATAAAAGAACGAAAACGTTTGGTTGTAGATACATTTTCAATAATATTAGGTTACGTACATTTATTCTGTGGTACCTACTACCTAACTGATTGTCGTTACGTTTCGTCGGCCAAAACATGGCTCAATTAGGATAGGTACTTTTTAAAACACACATTATACAACCTTTACAGATGTTATTTTGGGTTGGGTTGGGTAGCATGAATGTTAAACATTATTTTTACATACGGCATAAGTTAAGTACCCAAAGTTCCTATTTCAAATGTCACAATAAAAATTACACAGAATTAACTTGTCCCTAAATAAGCTTTTTTAACGAGCTACCTCGGTTATTTTTATCGTAGCTGTATTAAGTATCTGCCATGTGACTAAGCAATATTCTCGTAGGTACATACATCTTTATGATACACCTTTCGTAATAAAAAATTCGTAATAAAGTCAGAGATTTGTCCCTGTATCAATAATGTATACTCCCGCAACTTTTATTTATTTGAACCGACTGAAAGTCGTGACTGTGTTCGTTGCGGCGCTCCTCTCAGCCCCTGCCAAATGTTGATCTCGAAACGCTTGTAGGGCTAAAAGATTATAAGATATGTGATGGCTCCATTCATTTTATTTTTACTGTCTTTTAAAATACTATCTATTAAACTTTAGGTAGGTACGTAGATACACTCAGCGTAAATAACCCTCCTTCTGGAGCAGTCGGGTAAATATTTCATGACACCCAAATTGGCCAAAAACACAACACTTCTTTATTCCAATCGGAACAAAGTAGTGTTGCGAACTTTTTGGCTACTTTGGGTGACATGAACTATTTGACGCTGAATGTAGGTACTCTGTACTAGGATAAAAAAGACTTTTTTGTCTTGACTCTTTAATTCTTTCTCAGAAGAGCAACCACTGCCGACCGTGACCTTCGAGTCGGCGTCATACGTGCTTCGGGTGGAGATCGGGCAGGCAGGCCTGGTGGGCAGGGTCCTCGCGACCTCCGACAACGGAGAGCCGGTCTCCTACTCGCTGCAAGTGGACAATGGTAAGCACAACATTTAATTAATAAGCTAGTTGCTTTTGACTGCGGTTTTTCCCAAGAAATTTCGAACAGGCCTGGTGGAAGAAGGGTCCACGCGACCTCCGACAACGGAGACCGGCTCCGAATCTCCAGAAAAGTCTGGTGGTAGTACTAACTCATGAGCTATGATACTAATCGCATATCAGGGGCCAGGTCCCCCTTGAAAAAGAACCCTAGATACACCAATGGCTGCATGTGGACAATGGTAAGTTGCAGCAACATTAATAGCCGCGTCCACACCGGGCGCATGGGCTCACGACCCCAGATTGTCATCCTGCTCATCTAAGAGCAGAGACATATAAAATACATACATAATTAAAGTTATTTTTCTCGGATAATAATATGTTATGTAACATATCCGAGAAAAATAACTTTAAATATAGTTTGAAAATTATAAATAACTTGAAAAAATCGAACTGCCTAAGGCGGGAATTGAATTGGGAATTTTTTCAAGTTATTCATAATTTTCAAATTAGTTTGAGATGCGACTCTTAACGCTAAAAATTAAATAACTATTTAAATATAGTGATCGATAGATCGTTAAAAACTAAATAAGACTGCATTTAAAAGTATTTTTTGACAAAGTGATGCCTTTTTGCACGGGGCTCAATAGCCCCGAGGTATCATAACAATATTTGCAACAAATCTTTTAAAACTATCAGTGGAACAGGATTGCGAATGCGCAAAACAACAGATTGCGAAGTAAACAAGTGGAAAGAAAATACTGAACTGTCTCAAGTGTCTCTTACAATTAAGTAGAGCAGCTATTGATGTCTAGATAAATATTTTCTATGTTCAAGTAGGTACATTATTGAAAAGATACAATACCTACATTACCTACAATATAAATTATTACCATTCAAGTCGGCCAAGTTGGTTAATACCATAGAAAAAGAAATGCAATTTGTAAATTACAAGACTTTTTTCAAATAACACGCCTTTTAAACATACCTAATATTGTTTTATTTTCTGGCGCAAAACGATCTATTTGCATACATATATTGGTAGAGGAGACCATTATTTAGAAAGTAACTCAAAATATTATTAAGCTGTAGGCTAGTTTCTTAAAAAAAAATTTTAGTCCGACAATTTTAATATAAAATAATACCTATTGGACACGTATATTTTTAATTGTCACTCAAACAAATAATCACAAAATTATTGTGCGTTGAAGTACCGCGCGACGTCACAGAGTGCTGCACTTTTACGCACTCACTGACGTCACGGGCCTATTCTTTAGAACTTTGGCACGCTTTATCTCTTTACATTTTCATTCGTTTTAAAAAGTAAAAAATATGTGTCGAGTAGTTTGTGATTAGCTAATTGACGGACTAATTAAAACTCTTGCTTTTTTACCTAGGAAACATCCCTATTAGACATCAAGAAAATAAAATTTTGCAGGGATACGTATGTACTCCTGCTTAGTAAATACGAAACTAACTTTCCTTAAAAGAATCTCAAGAATCATTAGGTGCAATTAATATTGAACACGAGATCGTAATTAACTTGATGAGCCTAAGAAAAGGAATGTACCTACCTAAGTAAGTCACTTCTCTGAAGTAGACAAGTACCGTTAAAGTTGACAATGGAGAATCCATAAATCAAATTCTTCTTATATCGGAATTTTTTTAGCCTTTTTTGACCTAACGGTATTTTAGGAATACAAAAAAAGATTAACGACGAATTCAACATCTCCTTTTTTGAAGACGGTTAAAAACATACAACTCCGAACCAAAACATTATGGTCTTACCAGATCGAGAAGGGTAACTCTAGATGGGTTAACCCTCTTCATAAAGCTATCCACGAGGGCAAGTACACGCGATTCGCACAAATAAATTTAACGAGGCGCTCATTAATTAATGGGCCCAGGACACTTCCGACCGCACGTGCACGTGTGACAATGACGCATTAAATGTTACTCCAAAAATAAGGGTCCAGTAAACTGAGATGTAGCCAGAGCCCTGGGGAACAACTTCAATGGAACAAGCTAATGTGGTTCCTATGCAGTGGGCAATAAAATGCATATTTTATCGGCCCGAGACGATGACCCATTATTTTCTTTTTTTACTTGTATAATCCTTTAACGCGTAACGCGTGTTAATGAATTATGCACCTTAAATGCTCATAACATTTGTATTCTATTTGCTTGATTAGGTGCTTTGCCCAGCTCTGTCTTCGTCTGGTTCGTAACTTACGCGCACCCTAATTTGCTAATGAAATGGTAATCATTTTGATTTAGTAATTTGTTTGTACAGTCGCAGAATGAAAAGGTTCGTCACCTTAGTGTCGGTTTTCGCTTGCACTAGGTACTGTAAGAGTCAAACCTGTCAACATAACAGTGCAAGAAACAGTGCTGCTAACATTTAAATAAATATGACGTTTGCTAACGAATAAGGTTTTGCTTGTTTATTTTTCTATCCCATCAGTGCAATGCAATGATGACATTGACCAATTGACAATAGTTTTTTTTTATTTAGGGCTGATTTTTCAATCGTCAGATATCTTTTAACTGAAGAATAACCTTGTCATTTTGACATATTTCCCATACTAAAACTGTCAATGTGCCAAACTTATTCTTCAGTTAAAAGTTATCCGACGGTTGAAAAATCAGCCCTTAATAGAAATAATAATGGCAGGTTGAACCAACAAGAAGGTTTTAGTTTATCAATCATAATAATCTTCTTGACAAGATAAATCGTCAAACAACTTTGATCAATAATTTTGAACTTTACTGACGAACAGTTAAAGGTTATTTTCTCTAACTCGAGATTATTCTGTAACATAGTTTCAAAAGGTAATATGTGTTCGCGATTCGTTGAAGGAATCAATTTGAAAACTGACGAACCTTTTCATTCCGTGACTGTACATTGTTAGCGAAATGTATGAGCAATCAAAAGTGAAAACTCATTAATTAATAAGCATTTACAGTAATAATTAGAATGTATTCTGTATTTCTTGAACCGTAAGAAAGTAATTAGTTCAGACTTTATTTGTTATTGAAAGTAATTTGGATAATTGAGAATTTTGTTGGGTATCTCATAAGCAGAGGGCCCTGAACCCTGAAACTATGAGCATGTAATTTTAAGAACTTTCGAAGAAAAGTTCTAGTTTAATTAATAAAGAAACCGATGGCGCTAAAAAGTTATATAATAACCTCGTTTAAATAATATATAATGTACAAACTACACTGAGCATCAAGTCAAGCACTGTGACACCTTTTAAAGTTGTAGTAGGTGCTCAGTAAAATGCAGCAAAAATGTAGAGCATCAGGCTATTGTACATTTTTGTGATGTCTTACAAAAACAGTCGTTTTAGCAGCGTTGTCTAGTTGAGGCTAGGTTATAGTAACTTATAATAACTTTCTGATAATTTTATGAGATATGTACCATCCTAGACTGCATTCCACTTAACACCAGGTGCGATTGTGGTCAAATACCTGCCTTGTTATGCATAAAAAAAATGATTTATGAATGTCTTTCTCAGAGCATCTCCGGAGTCGTGTCTCAGTGAGCAGCGACGGCGAGCTGTGGCTTTCAGCGCCTGCGGCTAGTGGAGTCTACAGCTTCCAAGTGATTGCGACCACAGAATTCACGCAGGCGGTTGGACACGCTACGGTGAGTGCGCCTTTAAAACGATGCTTATAAAAACTTTTTATTGCAAATCACTTAGGTTTAGCGTAGAATAGTTAGTTCGTTGATATTACTTTTTATACAAATCCAATCGGAAAATACCTTAGTAAGCCAATCTTTAACGCCTGTTCTAATAATGTATTTAAAATTCCGACGGCGCACGCCAAATAGCGTAACATTAAACTAATCGAATCCTATTGCCTATAATCTGGTCTATTCTCGGTCAGTCAATTTATAAACGATCTTTTCAAAATGGCCTTGACTTTCGCTAGTGACGAGAAAATCGTTTTTCTTTTGACAAATGATTCTGTAGGTACTTTACAGTTAAAAACCAAGCGTTTTATCAGTTTTATGTAACTCTTTAATAGATAAAATTTTGTTTTTTAATGGTCTATAACAAAATAGGAAAACTTTACCTTAGTTATCATAAAGTATTTGTATTTAATTTATATTTTGGTTATACAGGTTCATTTATCAGTGGAATCGGTAACAGTGTGCGGGGATGATATCGTGGTAGCGCCTCTAATAGTCATCGATCGAGATGAAGAAGTAGAACATAGAAACCTGGTCGTCATGAATTCCACCGAACATGAGGGCTGCCACTACACACTTACCAACAGATGGCCTGTGGACCAGGATTGGCTATATGTTGATGAAAGCGGTCTTCATACCCATGCCATTGACAGAGAACACCCATCAATTGCTTTCATGGCTCTTTCCCAAATCCAAGTCGAACTAAATCTAGTTTGTGGCGGTGATGTTACAAGAACCAAAAGGTCCTTAGACGAACGCCTAGATTGGCTCGGACCGTACGACTACGGAACCAACACATGGGTTTTGACTGACACGATCCTATACAATTCCCGAAGGAGCATAGTGAACCTTATTGTGAACGATATAAACGACAACACTCCGATATTTGATGGGAAGGAGAATGAACCTATTGTTGTGGGGTATCCTGTTTTGGACCTGGAAGAAACAATATTACCCCGATCCCTAGCAGAACTACAGGTAAACAATCTTCATTTGTTATCATCAAAAATGTAATCGGTTATTAAAAAAATAAGATAAAGACAGTTCGGTTTCGATGTTAGTCGGCTTTATTTGTTTGTCATATTGCCAGTCTACTGACACGCCCATTCATAAAGTATGATAAAAAACATGAAGTAGAATTACATCGCTCAAATACTTCTTTTATAACTAAAAGATAAAGAGGTCTCAGAAAAACTTCTTTTGTGTCCAGAGTGGGGTATTTTCACTGACCTCTAAAATACTTCGCTTTATTTAAATGCCCCCAAAAACAACAACTTTTTACCTTTCTGTGTATTTATTTACGAGGTGAATGTACTCCACCCAGGTTTAAGCAAATAAGTCAAAGAAAGTTATTTGGTGCCTTTAAGATATTTTCCTCATTTTTTACAGTTACCATGATCGCCACATAATTCGCCGAATGTAAAACGATATTTCACGTTTATAGCATTTTTATAGGATCCTCGATTATTATGATATCGTTGCGTTAATAACGATATCATATTTATCGATGTTAAAATAACGTAATACTTATTTTAACATCGATAAATACTTACCTGCAATAACATGATACATAGTTAAGACGTAATTTTAGGGTTTTCCCAAGCGGAATTTTTCTTCTTTTCTTTTGTCTCATGCACTTGACAAATGAAAAATTGACTGTAGCTTATGTACTTACATTAATTTCTGTTTTTTCAATAGGTACAAATTTGATTACTAGAATGAGAATTACACAAGGCAGACTCCTATTTTTTGTTATCTCAATTCAGATTTGGTATCCGAAAAGTATGTAGACAGACTATTTCTAACTCGAAAGTTACTAACTCGAACTATTCTAACCTCGGAAAACCCACCGCTTAACTCCAAAACAAACCCTTTAGTGTATTTAATTTTAGAGTATTAGATAGAGTTTAGCATCTTGTAGCTAATATCTTTACAAATTACTATCTTGTAATAAAAACAATACAAAAACCTACAACCTACCTTGACAAATTAGTCATAAGAGATAAAATATTTTTCTTCATGATATAAAAAGTAGATGGCAGGATCATAGTTCCTATAGCCATAATAAAGAACTAACGTAAAACTTGCACTGGCTATAGTATTTTATCGACAAAGCCGCGAATTGCGCAATCCTTTGTGCCGAACTTACCAAATTTATCCCTTTTCACATAATAATGTATTTTTGTCGGTCGGTTCTAATATATCGACCTTTGAAACGCAGCGCGGAATCCAGTAGGTAAAACAGATGTTCCTATCTCCATGTTGCATGCACCACCTGCGTTTTATAGTCCTAGTTGGAAATGGTCACAGATTTCAACTTGCAAGCTTCTTGCATACCCGTAATAAAATCTCTTGTACGAGTAAGTCTGAAGTTGTAATGGCATACTTTCGGTACAATTAAGAAAATTTTAAATTTTACATAACTATTTCAAGGCAACCTTAATTAAAAAATATATACTTTAGGTACCTAAGAACTGAAAGGCTACCGGAAACTGAAGGATATCTTAGTTAGGTAGTATACTAAAAAACTCTTTAAGCCTGTGATTGGTTGAACTTCAATATTAAGACCAATCACTGACTTCAATATATTCTTAACCGTAGAATAAAGTTTGATTATCCTCATAACACAAAACTGAGAAATCATCATCATCATCCAAGTTGTTATAAACTTCAAAAACTGCTAAATATTTTGGTAGTGTTGCTTCCGTCATTCTTCGGCACATGTATATTGTACAGCACGCGTATGATTCATTATGGTGACCACACCATAATGGGCCTTGTTCTTTACTTCTACTTAAATATGTTGCTTTGTCATGATAACACAAAAATTGTAGCTTCAGTCCAATTCATGTTACATTGCAACAGCATGCAATTATGTGATGGAAATGGTGGATATCTGAATATAGGTACTTATAGTTGTTGCAATTCACGAAGGCGAGTGAGCTTTACATGTGTGGTAGCTCGCTACTGTGTTTTTCAAAAGTTTTGACAGACATTACACTATCGTTATGTGCTTGTGCATGGTACACGTACACACACAAGTAAAGCTCACTGGCATTCGTGAGTTGCAAGAACCATACCTAATTATTAATCTTATAATTATGGTTATTATAGGCAACAGACGCAGACGTGGGAGAAAATGCCCGGTTACGATACTGGAGTGAGGACCCTGAAATAGTAGTGTCACCCACAACTGGATTCGTGCATGTTAGGAGTGGCGCGCAGTTGGAAGAAAACATGATGCTGATGGTGAACGCCACAGACCGCAATGGAGAGGGACTTACAGGATCTATATCTCTCAAGGTAGTGTAGTGTGGTAGTGAGGAGGAGTTCGAAGAAAATATTTCTTCCAACTCCTCCTATGATTAATTTCATCGCGGGTGCGATGACAGTTTAACTTTCTCCCGGGACTAACTTGACCTTCACTGGTTGGGTTTTTATTGGCGGTCAAGCCGTAGATTCTGGCTACACAGGAGTTGCAGCGATAGGAACGAGAGGTGGGAATAGTCCCATAGTGTATATTTTCGTCTCCTAAGGTCATTTGGTCAAGCCCGGTTTAGTGTCAGAAGTATAAACTTTTCACATGAAACAATTCTAATGTAAGACTTTATAGTGCCTCATAAAACAAAAAGTTGGAATGACAAAATTTATGTAACGTCTGCTTTTCCAGACAATCCTATTAATTACCTTTGTCTAGACAAAAATGTTACTATAACAAGTAATAAAGAAAGTCATAATGTAAGTGGGCATTGTTAGTTAGATATCACTTTTCTACAAACTATTACAATGGTATCGGCTATAAATTTTTATCAACGCTCAATAAAATTCCGTTTAGCACACCAGTGAGAAAAATGTTCACATTTGTGCTATGAACTCATACCAGATGTTTATCTTTACAATTTAAGTTGCTAAACTTTATGCACTAGTTCGGGCCTCGGTATTTTCCGGGATTGTTTTACAAATCCATTTAAAAATGACGATAATATATCCGTTGCCGCTAATTTATTGCATTATTTCCGTTAATGAATTTGACCCTCAATAACAATGTATGTCTCGATCAAATGGCGTCATTGATTGAAATTTCTTTTGTTACTTTGAGTTATCCTCAAGAAATTTCCTTTTCAGGTGAAATTACTAGAAACTGAACACATCGCCGTAATCACTGCGCGAGATGCTTTCTTGGAAGACGAGAGAATCATATTGGGCAATCTAAGCAACGCTATAGGGTACGAAGTGAGAGCTCTCCGATCGGTGGTGACGTCAATATCTGAGGAACAACAGGCGACGAGAAAGAAGAGGGATACCACCGCAACTTCAGGGGTCGCTTTAGTGATATACGTATATGGACTTCTACAGAGTGAACCTGTTTCTGTGGAGACACTTTCAAAGTTAGTATTGATTATATTATGTTCTCATTAAATAATGAAATAGTCCCCATTGCATCTCTAAAGATGCATAATTGTATCCTTTAAATCCGTTTTTATCCTTCTTTTACAACTTTTCTAGCAATGACGATCTAGCATTTTTTTATTTTTTCATTCCAGTGACATAAATAGCGCTACAATAGTAACGGTAGACATAGCAAGTATACTATCACTAGAAGATCATCTAGAAGGCAACGAGATATGCGTCATCACGGGACGTGATACAGGCTTGTTAGCAGCAACAATAGTCCTCAGTGTTCTACTATTCTTGCTAATTGTGGCGGCTGTGGTATTTTACTTCCTCGTATGGTAAGCCTCTCCGTTACCTAAATTACTTTTTTATTATCTCTTGTCCATAAATAATTCACGGTTTTCATTGTTAACTACAGGAGAAAGAAACAAAACTACGACCAATTTAGCGACGCTAGTAGTATCGTGTCGCAAGGTGAGTCACCCGGCCAGCCTTCCAAGCCCGACGTCGTTGCTAAGCCGCGGTTGAATATCGAAGAACTCAAAAGAAGTGAAAGGAGACTCCAAGACATGTTAAACGCTCCCATTGAAGAAGTCACTGTTGAGCCGATACCGACTTCTTCAAAAATGGATACATCTAATCCTACAGCTAAACCATTACAAGAACCTTTAGCGCCAATAGTCGTCATACAAGATAAACTTAAAGATGCTGCGGAGGAGTCCGATGAAGATGAATTCGGTGAAATAAAGAGACCCAGAAGAAAGTCAGTTGTTACTTTCAATGAAAATGTAGAGAAGATCATACACGTGGATGATTCCGATGAACCCGATATAATAGCAAACCCTAACTATGAAGTGTATAAATTGTAAATATGTTTATTTATTAAAAGATTGTAATGTAAATAAAATAATAACTTCTAATAGTAAATTCTGATATTCCAAAATAGTTTTGGTTTCCGTCCATATCCGCATTTTTAATCCCACCTATAGTGACTTATAGGTTAGCAGAATTTGTACCACAAACGGTATTTGTGACCGCGAACAAAGTACGATAAGAATTTAGTGCTTATACTAACACTAAATCTGCTTTAAAGTAGGTAATACATTTTGGGGAAAACTATCTTCGTAATGTGTTTTTGTCTACCTAGGCTCTATAATAGCCTTGCGGAATACCTAGTAGAGTCAAGTCGAGAAATTTTTATATTTTTCTGATCAAACCGTTAACTATTAAATTACACAATGTGGCTTACGAATGTTTGTCACTTGGGAATTAAATCCAATTTCTCGGAGATCCAGGCGATCCCTCGCCCGTCTCACCACTGAACCACCGGATTCCTTAATACTGGAGCACATAAGTATGTCGGTTTGACTTCGATCCAAGGAAGACTTGACTTGGACTTTGACTTCGAGTACCTATATTTTATAAAAATTATTTAAAAATAAAATATACTCTTTATCCTAACTCTATTTCCGTACATGTGTTGTTTCAGGTCATCAAAACTATTCGTGAACAAATAAAATGTACACAACAATTAAGACATGTAATTCGTGAGATTGTACCGGGACAACAGGATTTCGAAATCCTGTTGGCTCCCCTAGGGGGGCCAAGCAGGGGGGACAACAGGACTGCACCATAAATACACCGTGGGAAAACAAAGTAAGCATACGAATTTCATTAGTATGTCAGTGAAGGTTGTAAATAGACAACAAAAAACGGGATCTCAGAAATCTGAAAAACCCACTGAGGCGGCGGCAACGACCTCTTTACGAGGGACCCTAAGATATTATCAGTGCCCAAATTAAATTACGTTAAGTATGTTTAGCGTACACACTCACTGCGAGTTTTATTTTCGTACGTACGTAATTATGTTACAAACGACTTCACATCAAGCTGAGTACTAAGGTAGAGCACCTTCACAACAAAATTAAAAAATAGATAATTATGTTGCGCTGTCGACCGTATATTAATTTTTTATCCGTAAAATGAATAACTGGTGTAGGTTGAACCTCAGGAACTAAAACTCAGGCGCATTTTGTTCTCAAAAACATCCGACGGCAAAAATACCACTGCGGTTTATTTATTTACGGATTTCCTGGAATTTGCGAAGAAACGAAACAATTTGAACTTGAAAGAGTTTATTCAATATTTTGCTTTGGGAAAGGATCAGTTTGGGACTAAGCGCATTGTGTCCTCCGGCAATTACATAAATCGTATCAGACCATTATGCCGATAAGAGTTTCCCTTTTATACACAACATCGCGAATTCGAAATACATTTTGGCGTACGATACCGCTAGCTGTCACACATGACAACAATATTGCCTCGAAACTCGTATTTACAGTTAGTCGGGCAGACATTTTTAAATGCTATAGAATTTTGATATTCAACCCGCAGATAGGTGATACGATCAGAACGCGTCCAAACTTACTCGAGAGACAGAGAGTGGCCCACGCACGTTTTTGCTAGTTGATAAATGATTGCTTCCGAAATCCTTCAATGATTGATAGTGACTTTGTTGACTGTACTGGATTCACCAGACTATCAATCACATTATAATAAGGGTAACATCAATGGCATTTCAATGGCGCTTCAATTCTGTATAAGATAAAATTGCAGTGAGAAAGCACATTCTGGACAAGGGTCTTTATTTATGTGCGGTGCCATTAACACAGGTGAGGTGGAGTCGGACAAGGGTTTTTCATTGTAAAAATAATACAAGATAAATTGCGAGATTTGTGCATTTTCTGTGGTTTGGTATCTATACAATTCTGCCAAATTATATACACTCGACATCAAATAAATCGCACCTCCCGCGACAAGCATTTTCAAACGTATGCATCCCCACTTCCCACCAATATTGGCACCATTAAAAAGCCTACTTCTAACCTTCATTTAATTAAAGGAAAGGTTTAAAGGTTTTTGCCCCAAAAATGTGTCTTTAGAAGGATCCAGAGTCACTTCTTCAAAAAATAGATAGTTACGCTAGAGCCAACTGTTATGGCTATAAAACTGTTAAGTTGGGATTAATCGCTATCCATCTGTTAAAGAGGACACGTGAAATCATTATTTGGTTTTATAACCATAAAAATTGGTCTAATTGATCCCATAGGTCCCAAAGGTGGATTGTGTCAGAAGAAAATCGTTAAAGTTCGCGTCGCGGAAGGTGCGGTTTATTTGATGTTGAGTATATAATCAAGTCTTCTGGCTTCGCGACTTGTCGCGCTCGGGATAAATAAAGTGATTTCATTTTAAGTATAATCTCATTGAAGATTTATGAAACACCTACCTAGGTAGTATTGGTTTGGTTCAGAGATGAATTACCTCACTGGTTGTTCTTAAATTGAATAACCAAACTTAACCTAGTTTATCAGCGAGCAACACTCCCACTGCACTGGAGAGCTTCAAATTAAAGCTGGAAATAAAACTATTTTCAGCTGAGCATGTATTTCTGTTGCAATACTTTAAACATCATTATGTAACTTCATTGTAGGTATGCTACAAATTTTGGACGCCCACATATTTTACTATTTCGGTGATGTTTCCATATTGAATAAAAGTACTAATGATTACTACAAGCTTTTTAACAAACTAAAAAAAATATTTGATTTGATAAACTGGTTGATTGAGCTGCTTTATAACTTAAAACGACAACTGTCATTTAAAAAAATAGTAAACCCAATTACGACATTAAGTAAAACAATGTAGTTGAGTATTATTATTAGGTATTACAGCATCTGACAAGACCATTTTATTACAGTCTCTGTAGCAGCATTCTTACAAAATCTTAACATCTCACGATTAAACCTAGACTAGTTCTAATCCAGGCTATAGAGCTGAATTAGACAAGTAAATCCTTAAGAAAATAGCACATCCAAATGCTCTTGTCGGGTAGGCAGTATGCCAAGGCTTTCAGGCTAAGTTTATCTCATATGTACTTAATTGGGATAATATAATATGAAAATGGGCTCCATTTAGGTATTATTCATAAGCTCTAGAATATTCAGAATCTCAGAGTTTATTCCTTTTATAAGACAAGTCCAATTGTTGTTATAATTCCTGAAATATGTTCAACTTCCAACTTCGGCTGCTCATATTACGGCGACAATCTGGAACTTTCAGTACCTATCAACTGTTTGCAAAGTACAAGTAGAGCTGCAACGATACTTTAGGAAATTGTGAGTTAAATGCTTCTGACGAGCGCTTTATGAAGATGTGCTTCAAATTCTTGCATAGCGCAGAAACCTTCGTAAAGCAAAACGTTTGCTTCAAAACACAGTCATTAATACCCACTCATCCATGCTACGATTCCGCAATGATGACTCTGAAATAGTGCTGTTTCACCGGAGATACAAGTCAAATCGCAATAACGTTGATGAACGTGTTCCGAGTGCAAATCGCATGCAAATGCCGGCGTTATACGATCCGAGATTTCAGTATCGGTGCATGCAAGAATGTGACAGCGTTGTTTTCATTCTGATCTTACGGGACGAAGCTAGGGTTGCATCTTAAAATTTTCAGTAGGTAGGTAGATATTTGTTTGTCGCATAGATGATCGCATCTCAGCATGCTAGCTAAGTAGCATAAGCAATTATGTATCAACATTTCAGGTGCCTTGAAATCACCAGTAAAAATGTACTACCATCAGCATACTACCCGGCGTATTCCTATTAAAACAAGTTCAATCAGTCCGCTGCCTCCCAGGATGAAGGTCGCTGAAGGTCGCTTCGGTTATATAGCAAAATATTTTACTGTGGCATAAAATTTTAAAAAAAATAAGTAAATACCATAAAGGTGGCATAAAACTTGAGCAGAGATATTTTTCCTTCGGGCAAAGTGTAAAGATAGGCAAAATAAGTAACTTATTTCCTGCTTATCCGCCTCTCATGGCCTTTGTGTCTCACAAGAAACGTTATCGGTCCTTCGGGATTCGCGTATTTACTCCGAATAAAAGAACCATGTTTAAGTCAGATTATATTCTATATCTATTTATCTAATCAGCTGGTTGTTTACGTTATTAGGGAACATTAATGTGTTTTAAAACGATAGTCTCGAGTATTTTAGCACTACGTGTTAGCCCTGCACATACGAGTATTCACAAGGAGTCAATATTGCCTGAGTTTCAAAGAAACCTGCTCCCAGATATTCTAATATGTAGTAAGTATTCGCCCATAGAGTAAGTATTACGGTATTTGCCAAATGTAATATTTCACTGATGTCAATAAGTGTTTAGAAGTTTGGTCAACAGAGAAAAGTCCTTGAAAGATTTGCTCAACAAATGTTGTCCTCTTTGTTTAGACTTTATAATCAAGGACTGACGAACTTAGTTGATATTAATATAGTTTGACACACACATCAGAAGTTCCATGGTCCATATTAGCATTTTAAAGCAGTATTACCACAGACTTCTTAATAGATAGATTACTATCCGATTAGCGAAACTATGTGCCACCCACCTCTTAACTTTTAAATTAACTCTAATTAGTAAAAACGTGTATCTTATTCAGCCTAAGATCTTACGTTATTTATAATTATTCTGGATCCTTATTTTAGGATCATGTATACCTATCACAAAAAGTTACAGTGATCTCAGTTGCAAGAAAACTTATTTGAAAATAATATCAAACTCTTTGCCTGAAGCTGGCCACTTATAAAGTTTTTTTCTTTTTATATGACCGAAATGCAATGCGATCGTTTATTGTTTTTTTAATGTTCTCATAAAAATATTTCATTTGTCTAATTTCAAAGTAAAATAAATTTTAAATTAGATATTAAGTGACAATGTATAGTCAAGGGATATTTACAAGAACAGAACATCAAAGTAATGATTTTCATGTTATCTTATATTTTCAACCGACTTCAAAAAAGGAGGAGGTTCTCAATTCGACCCGTATGTTTTTTTTTTTTCTATGTTTGTTACGCGATAACTCCGCCAATTATGAACCG